CTAGTTCCCGATCTAGGAGAGGAGGTTGAACTCTTGCGGCCAAACTGCGCCATCTCTGGGCGTATTCTTTGAAAGACTCACCAGTCTTTTGAGACATACTCTGCAGTTGCGCACGGCTAGGTGCCATGGCGGTGTTGTAGTGATAATGTTTTAAGAAAGCATCAACAAGCTCACTCCAATTACTAACATGAGTTTGTTCCAATTGCATGTACCATTCTAATGGAGCTTCAGCAAGACTGTCCTGAAAGAAATGCATAAGCAGCGGCTCATTGCTAGCATAAGCAGCCATCTTTCTGCAGTAAGATCGGAGATGAGTCTCTGGGCATGTAACCCCCTTATACTTGTCGAAATCAAGTACCTTAAACTTCGGCGGAATCACAACCCCCGGAACTAAACACATAGCAGCGGCACTGAATCCTGGTTTCTTAGAAGTCTCCATAGCCTTTAAGCGTTCTTCCAGAGCCTTGTACATCTTAGCAGTTTCAGACAGATCAGTCATAGAATCCTTTGGAGGGTCATCAAGATCAATGACATCATGGTGGTCATCTATAATCATCTGCGGGTTCTCCTTAGGAATCCCCCCATGATCATTCTTGGGTCCACCGTTCTCGGATGTGGAGGTAACGTCTACCAGCTTTGTGACACTTATTCTGAGCTCTTCCTGCCCTTGGATGACGGTATGAAGAGTTTCCATGAGTTGGTTCATCCGGTCACCCATGGTGTCCATGTCTTTGCGGAGAGAGGCCTGGTTCTGCTCAATTTGTTCCATGATTCTCAACTTGTTGGCTCGAGTGCGATAAGGATGTAAGGAAGTCGTCTTGTAGATTCTATAATGAAAGGAAAAATCATTAGATAAGAACTCCTGACAGCAAACCTGCAATTTATGAAATGCGTGATATGTATGATGTATGAAATGATTGTCCACTCTGGTTCTCCATGGTTCAACTACCGTCAATAGTAATCGAGCAACATGATGATAAGAATGGCCACATTAAGAAGACATCCAAAAATAAGAGAAATTCCCACAGAACTGATTATAAGAAGGTTATGGGAGTGTGAGCAATTGGTAACAATAATGATTAGTTCGGGGGTAGGTTATTTTTCATGTCGCTTAGGCTCAAATAAAGTGCCTTAGTGATAATTTCAAGATTGTGCCTATCAGGACTTGGAGACGGGTAGGTGTTCAGCAAAGAGGATTGTCCTTCTGGAATTGGAACAATTTGGTAGTCCTAGAATGTGTAACTTGTAGCTGTAAGAATGAAATAGGGTTGAAATGACGAAAATGGTCCTCTAGATTCTTCAAAGAAGGCCAAGAACTTGAGCGGAAAACTTTGAATAGTACAAATAAGTATGATTGTCTCCTTTGGTTTTCTTGAGAACATCACCGTTGCCAAATGTTATTGGCGAAAATTATGCCAGAGAGGTATCCAAAGTGGACATGCATATGCAAGGTTGATAATTTCATCTTTCTGACATTTTTTTTTTGAAATAAACATGCTAGATGTAAATGCAAAATGATCATGTTGTTACTACTTCCATGATACCAATATCTGCTGTATTGTCTCTGCGTAGTTTGTAAGTACCAGGATCATAGGTCCGGAACAAAAACCATACAATCTTATGAACAGATTCGGGACTCAGAAAATAAATCTGAGAACCTCCTAATCATTGACAGAGTTTCAGAGCATATCCAATAGAACCTATAGTCACTGTTTGAGCATAATCATCATTTGAATATGAGTAACCATCTGAATATGAGTCACCATCTGTACCTGAGATAGAAATTCCCTCCCCACTCACGGGTGAAACTAGGTCAGGGTAAGATAATGGTAACTCGAAAATCACGGGTCCGCCTGAAAGTGCTATGGGCTTACCCACAGACGTGGGTGCCGATAATAATTCATTTGAACCTCATCCGAGCGTGGTATGTGACATGACTGCACTAATCGGACCATGTCCTATAGCCGTCATGCCCCCACTCTATTCCTAGGTGTCCTAGTGCACTCTGGCCTGGGTACTGGGCCTTTTACCTCAAAAGTAACATCCCAACCCAATAAGAAGCAGATCCAATATAGCAGTAGTATATGGAAGACAGTAAATACAATGCATATGTATGCTTGAGTATATACAAAATGAATGAATAAACCAAAAGCGTGAAGATAAACACCCAAAGAAAAGAAAAGAAGAGCTAGGAGCGACTCCGGGATGGACCAGCACTTGGTCGACCTATTCCCCAGTGAAGTCGCCAGCTGAAACAACCGGCTGAAAATCATCAAAACAATGAAGTCGCCATCGAACGTCTGTTATCCCACATGTAGGGAAAGGTAAACATCGAGAAAACCTGATGAGGGAGAAGTCACGGTCTTGCGACCGAGAGATCGGGTAAGGGAGTCTGTTACGCGAGGGGAAGGTATTAGCACCCCACACGCCCGTAGTACTCTACGGTATCCACTCTTGTTATCTATCTTATGGGTGTGTTTAATCTATGCTTACTGTTTACTACACTACTGGAGGAATGCATGCAAAAGAAAGGCGAAAAGAATGTAGGGAAAATAAAATTGTGCTCGCCTGGGCCCTACCCCAATGCCTACGTATCCTTTTTGAGGAATCAGAGCTACCGTAGTTCAGCTCATATTTTTTTGTTTGTTTTGTGTTTTTTATGGACGAAGTTAATTCCGCCTTCTGCCGCAGCTCGACCTTTGGAGACTTATGCGTTGGCATAGAAGTAAATTAATCGTGTCCTTACCTGAAAAGGTTTTTTTAGAAAAGTGCTCGAGCGCACAAAAGATTTGAGTTGGTTTTGTATTTTTGTTGTAGATGATGACTGATTGACCTCAAGAGAGAGATATTAGCCATTTTCCTGCTTAGCCGTGAAAGGAGTTTTTTGAGAATTGAACCACACCTATGCTTGAGATGAAGAACAATAAGATCGAGAAGAGACCCGCTTATCATTTCTCGTACTAAGCAAAAGCATGATTCTCATCAATAGTTTTAAAGTGTTTTGGATTTCGAAAGAAAAAGAGGTTTTTGTTTTAGATGCGTATGCGAAAGGGAAAGAAAAGTTAAAGGGGAATTAGCCCATTTCTAAACCTTATTTTATTATGTATTGTTAGCCCTAAAGATTTAGGTTAAAGGGGAAATTTCTACCTGATGTTAATATGCATATGGATTTGAAAACCTAACGTCTAATTTTAGTTCAATTGAATCGAAGATTAAATTTGAACCAAAATCTCCCAAGGAGTTATGAAATAATACACGAACAAGTAAAATTAGGCAGCAAGTATCAAAATATTGCATACAATCCATAAAATTGCAAGCGAAACACATGACATAAAAATGAGTAAAACTAATGATTATAATTGAAAAGAAAAAGCGAGAGAATTGAAAAGAAATCTCTTTTATTTACCAATATTGCCAAAGAAGATAAATTGCCAAAATTAATGGCAAACGCAATCGAAATAAGTATCGAAAATAAGACCCTAGGAGGTGCAAGCTGGATTCAATGTGTGCTGCAAAAAATAGAATGACATTAGGCCCATCAAGATAAAAAAAATGTTTTTTTTATAGTAAATAAACCAAAAAGCAACCAAAAAAAAATGCTGGACCCAGGAATCGATTGGTTTGGTCCATTCCATCACTAATCCCTCTTATGACAAAAACTCATATTTTTTGTATTATTTCAGCATATTATTATTATTAAATAAAAAAGTAAAATAATAAAACAATTATATAATTTCAGCATATTATTATGATTAAATAAAAAAATATAAAATAATAGAACAATTATATAATTTCAGTATTATTATTATAAAATAAAAAAATATAAAATAATAGAACAATTATATAATTTCAGTATTATTATTATAAAATAAAAAATATAAAATAATAATACAATTATATAAAAATGGAAAAAGAAAAAGGATATGAAATTGGAAAGGGCTTTTAGGGATTGCAAAAAGAAAGCCTCTTCTCTTCTCGCGGCGAGCAGAATCGGCGCCGCCGGCCTCCTTCTGTTGTGTTTCCGTCTTCATACTTCCATCGCCGCCGTGACAAAAATCTCCCCGCCACGATCTCAGTCCTTCGAACCTCCGCCTTCTCCTTAATCCTTCGTTGCGTTTCTCAGTTCGCAACAAGAATAGACTCAAGCAAGAAATGGAAACGCGAAACACAGAGATGCGAACCTTACCAACCGGAGAACATCTGGTGCTCCTTCAATCTTTAGAAAGACGGGAAAGCCAGCGGTAAAATCAGGTACGCCTTCGACCTATTACTTCTGCGATCCACTTATTCTTCATTTCTTCTCTTTTGATTCGGTTTCTCTGTATTTCTGTTCGTGTGTTTCAAAATTGTTGCGTGTTGTTGCGGTTTTCTGTCGTTGACCTGCGATCTTGTTTTTCGGAAATAGCGCTTGCATTTCAATTGGTGCGTTGATGATGATGTGATGAAGGTGTCAGTATGAAGGAGATTGAAGAATCGTGCAAAGAAGCTTGAAGATTTGTAATGAAGATTAATGTTGCAGAGAGAAAATCTAAGGATGAAGCTTGAGATTTTTCTGAGTTTTTTGTGAATGGTGAATAATTGTTGTTTATGATGCGTGGAGGTTGAAGGTGGTTGAGAATGATGAAGATGGAGCTTGGAGAGAGGAGAAGAGAGATGGAGATTGAAGAGGGAGAGAATTTGATACCAATTTTTTTTGTGATTTTTCCTTGCACCCTCTATCAAGGTAATTTTCTGTCCTTTTTTCTAATTCTGTTAGATTGGAGATGTTTAGTTAGAGAGGAGTTTGAAGGGGATGGTTAGAGTTTCTTGGATTCGGTTAGAAACAGTTAGGAGGTTAGAGGGGGAGAGAAGAGTGAGAGGATGAGAATGATGTTCGAGCGTGGGAGTGGTGAATGAAGATTAGTCCCTCAGATTGAAGAGTGACATTTTGTTTTATGGTTGGATGGAAATTCCAAAGTTAGTTACAGACCACTGATTCCTGAAGTTTGTTACAAAATCCAATGGTGGAGATGAGTTCAGTTGAGAATTTCTGTTATTTCTACCTGATTTTCTGTTATGAAGCTTATTCTGAGCTGGTAAGGAATTAGTTATAGTTAGTTATGTTGTTTATGGTTTGTTGAGTTAGTTGTGTTATGGTCAAAAATCAGTTAGACTATTTTCAGTTATAGTTGGTGATTCTGTTAGTTTTTTCTACTAGGACAGTTAGAGATTAGAAAGTTTGTTAGATTATAGTTTCTAATTTCTGTATTTCAAATCAAATTGACTTGATTACATATTGGTATTAAACTGGCTTGAGAAATGGTTGTTTATGCAGGTTCAGGAGGTACAACAAGGCAGCGTATTTGTGGTGGCACAGAACCATGGACGTCCCGATGGTAGTTTGGGGCAGCTCAAGCCTTGTTCCGAGATTCTGAAGGAAGGCACAATAAGAATACCGCAAGTGTGCTCCATGCCGCACATCAATACCGTCTTCTTGATGGAGAGTTTCTAATAATATCATCCCTCGACATAAAGACAGGCGTATCATCATCAAATATGGAGAAACCAGGTTTAACACTAGCTGAGGTAAGTTGCATGAGCTTGAAAAATCCGGGATGAAGGGACATTGTCATAGACAGTGGCGGGCAGATTAAACTCCTGGCTTTCTACCCCAACAGGTCCTGAAAATTTTCTTTTCTTTTGAGTGTTGTTTCCATCATAGGTAGGCCAATAGCCACCTTTTAAATTATGATCTTCAGCTTGATAATTCTGCCCAAAAGACATAATTCATGGCGAAACAGCGCAGCAGATCTGAGAAATTGGTTGAGATCGGTGAATGGATTGGGGGGAACGAAATTGTTAAGTGGTTGTTGTTATTTTCTGTTGCAAGTTAATGTACTAGCGGTAGTGTAGGCGGTTTGTTTGGACTGTTTAGTTGGAGAAGTTTAGAAAAGTATGTTAGGAAAGTTAATGAAGTGAATTACCGAAATGGGTTTCGCTTAGTATTAGTTATTTTTCGGTTATGAAAATAAATTGAAGGTGGAGTGAGGTTTATCAAACAGACGTGATGTCATGGTATTCTTGAAACAGCAGGGTGACTTGATGTGTGCATGAACATGTTAGTTTTATGCTATTTTTTAGATTTTATGATCATGATAATGAATGTGTGTGGTGCAGGTTCAGTGGTGTAGATTGGCATGGTGAATGAAAAGGTATATCTGAAGATGGTTTTAACAGCAAGTTTGGTCATAGATGATGCGAATAAACATGGTGAAGAAATTCAAGACATAGGGCATCAAGCATGGGGATTACTTTGAGATGTTATGGAAGCTTGAAGTTTGGAACATGAAGAATGATGGAAAATTAGGATAGATTTTGGTAAAAATGTATAGATGTTATGTAAAATTGTAATGGAATTTGGACTTGTATGTATTTGAATAATTGTAATGTATGTTGATTTTATTTCCACATAATGAAATGGCCTTTGTATGAATTCAAATAAATGGTATGAATCCAAAATATTTGCAAGGTAACCAAAAAAGACATGAATCTTGAATGAATCCTAGAGAAGCTATTTGGATAATATTTTGATGGTTGGATGAACTTAATACATGCTTTTTCATGTTTGTGGTTTGAATTCCAAGAAAAGCCACGCGAATATTTAAGAACTTTGATTTTCTCCAAATCCACTTCAAATATTCTAAATCCACTTCAAATATTGATGAATGAATTCTAATCAAACCACAGCTTCAGTGAACCCCTAATTCAATTCAATTTTCTGATCTAAACCAAAGTTGCGTGTCAAGCAATAAGCATTTGAAGTAATGACACCTTGATCATAATCAACATCTTGTACCATGTCCCGACTATGTGAGCACTAGAACAACGGCGTCTTGGACTCCTTCTCAATAGATGATAATGACTATGCCCTGAGGAATTCTTTGCAGATGAATATGAAAGATGAGACATGCGAATACCTTGATATGGAATGAACCTCAGGTAGAATGCTAACAAGCTCAAATATGAAAATGTATAAACCCTGATTTTTAGCTTCGTCTCATAAAACCTTGCAACTTGACATTGAGAAGAAAAGAATAGCCCCGTAGCTTGATGATGATAAGGTCCGTGAAATGAAAACCTAGCTTCAAACAAATTATTAATGGAGAAATCAACCGAAACAAGCTTGTGCGAAGATGGGAGCCTTAAAGTCATACACCAACCCTTATTCCTCGAAATCCATGATCTTATGCCAATTTATTAATTAATGATGCATGATGTGTTAGATGACCTAATATGAGAAAAATGCAAAAGTGTGTAAGCCAGATAAAAGTAAAAGGGTAGGACAAATTAGGGGTATTACAGGTGGGCCTAAGCCCGCTATTTTTCAAACCCCCTTCTCTCTGAACTACTAAACACAAACAACAACTTGCACCCCCTGTCTGAACTATAATTGGGCCAGCCTAAGCTTCACTTTTTAACACCCCATATTTTTACTTAATAATTAAAAATGCACCCCCTTGCCTAATTAATTTATTTTCTACTTTTTTTCTACAATTCATATATTTTTCCATATTCTTTATATTATTTATTATTATTACTAATATAATTATTATTATATAATTATTGTTTAATTTTTTTTTGTGAATATTATTTATATTAACAAATAAATTATGTTTATTTAAAACTCATGAATGTATTATTTTCTTCTCTATATTTGCATTAAGATATTTTTTAATCATGTACTAATCAAGATTTTTTGAAACTAATACAATTTAAAAAGACTAACCAATCTCAAACTATTTTTCACGAACAAGCTAATCTAAACAACTATTTTTTGCAAAAGGGCTTCAAACAGATTTTGACTTATCGCACATTCAGTCAAAATCTCCACAATCACTACTCCCGGCCAAAATGCGAGGTGATTCAAAGTACGTTTGCGACCCCTAAGAAACACCAACCTCATACAAACTACGAATTGGGACTCTGATTCCACATAAGAGGATATGTAGGCATACGATAAAAAATCATAGCGAGTTTTCCTATAAAATTAAACTCTTTCCCCTAATTAAAATTCAAAACCCTATTTTACCCGAACCTAAACCTAAAACCTAATATCCTTGTGAACAAGGTAGATGAAAGGTGCCTAACACCTTCCTTTCATCTAATAGAGTCCGAAACCTAGAATCTCTGTCTGCAAATTTGGGTTTTATGTTAGATTCCCTTCCCTAGGATAAAAACTAATAGTGGCAGCTTTTATTTAAAAACCAATTGCTACAGCTGGCGACTCTGCTAAGGCCTCAACTTTAGGTTTTAGGGTTTTTTTATTTGGAGTTTTTATTGCTTTATTTATTTATTGCTTTCATTTAATCATTGCATTTATTTAATTATTGTTTATTGTTTATTATCATATATACTGCGTGGCGGGATTTTTTATTTCTCAAAATATTTTTAATAACCCTTAGAAAGAAGGTTCGTCTATTAACATAGGGGGTACATCATCCCTGTGAGTTTATTTGATGACTTCGCTTAGAGTCAGTGAACTTCCAAAAAAGGAATACTTATCGAGAGATGTCCTCTTGACGAGTAGGACTTTGGAAGGTCACCCATGAATCTTTGTAACGAACTTAACCTAAAATCTCATGATGAGACCTTTCACGACTTTGAGGCAGAAGTCTCGGCCCATAAAGAGGCTCCATATAAGGGAGGCCCTTGTGCCTTTTCCCTCTGGTTTTATTCATGAAACCCTTAAGGAAACCACCTTCTGAGAGGGTATATCAACCTTAGGTCAAAATTAAGGAACCTACCTTCTAAGGGTACCTATCACAAAAACCGCGTCACTGAACCATACATCCATACCTTATAAGTATACTTATCTCAAAACCCCGTCACTCAACCCTGCATTTATACATCCGTGCATTCATATATTTCATATATTCGTCATACATTTCATATATTCATCATCCGTGTCTTTTATTTGTCTTATTCACAGGGTACAAAACAAAATATAATAAAATCAAGATTTTGGGGGGCTGTCTTTAAAAAAATGGATACCAGAGGGAAACAACTTGTCCTCGTCAATGCCTTTCAGCCCGTAATTTCTTAAATCAAAATTATAAAGGGGAAATCATCTGAGAGAGCTCTGAAGATGTACACTCGCTGTTATGGGGATACCCTTGACTTGACCAGAGTAGAGGTTCAAATGAATGTTGTTTCTGCCCTCATTCAGTTTTATGACCCTCCACTGAGATGTTTTACTTTCCAAGACTTCCAACTAGCATCGGCTCTAGAAGAATTTGACAGAATTATGAATTTTTTCAAAGAGAAGGCGTATGTAGGTATCATACAAACTGTTGAAGTCAAATTTTTGGCAAAAGGCTTAGGGATCCCTTACCTTGAGTTAATGCAAAATTACCGAAGAGAAGGTTCGATACAAGGAATCAAAAGGATATACTTGGAAGCTAAGGAACTCGAATTTGCTAATTATAAATAATGGGAATCTTGTGTCGATTGTTTAGGGCTACTGGTATTTGGTGTAATTTTATTTCCTCTGACTTTGGAATATATTGACCCTGCGGCCATTAGCATATTTTGGGGTGTGAAAGTACTTAATATGGATCCAACTCCCGCTTTGCTTGCGGACATTTATTACAACTTGCATATTGTTTTACCCCAAATTTACCTTCTCACTTATAAAGAATTTTCTCACAAGATCTCCTTGGGCTCAAGACTGCATTAGGGTTTGATCAGCATAAGACACCTCCTTAGGAACTGATGACCAAAATTAGGGTTTGAGTTTTCACAAGGATTTTTTGACTATCAATGCTTCATATGACTTTCAAGGAACATTATGGACCCCCAATATTACTCATGTCAAGTTTCAAGCCTTGGATCACACTTTTGATCAGTCAATTGAACAGTTGACCTAAAAATCAGCTATATTGGGGAAAAAGTCAACCATAGCAAATTTACAGTAAAACTTCATAATTTTTTATCCATATCAACATTTTAGACCCTTATGTATCATTTGATCAAGTTTGGACCATAATTCCTCAAGAAATTTGATCAAAACTCCAAAAGGGCAAAATGGTCAAAATTAGGGTTTTAACTAAGAAAGGGCAATTTCTGATTTTTAACCTAGCAAATGATCAACTGGTTTAAGGCATGATCTCAAGATTCAATTTGAATAACTTTGAACTAATTACATGATTCAAAACATTTCAATTACATTGGATTGACAGATGAATTTTGCAGTCAACTAATCAAAAGTCAATTGTATACTGAAAAGTCAAACATTGACTTTTTGGTCAAATTCAAGTGCCAAATACCATAATCCATCAAAACATGTCAAAATGTGAAACTTATTCATCAAGAAATCAAAAAGTCAAGATTTCATTTTGAAAAGTCAAAATTTCTAAACTTAGAAATTTTTCAAAGTGTTGGAAATTTCATGTTTTTTCATAACTTTGATGCAAATTTTCACCATGATGCAAGATGATTCAAGAGAAACTCCCA